ANTCGAGCGCCTCGACGTCCGAAGTGTTGAGCGCCTTGAGGTCGACGACCTTGACGGCGCGCTCGACCTTGCTGTTCTTGATGAGGCGCCCGATGTGCACCTTCGCGAAGGCGCCCTTGCCCAATACTCTACCCAGCGTGTACTCGCTCTTCACGTCGATCTTTTTCACCCGCGAGTCCTGCTCCAGCGTCTTGTTGTGGATCTCCGCCGGCGACATGGGCCCGTCGGCGCGGCCGGACCGCGCGGACGGGGCGAGCGGCGACCGTCAGGCGGCGTCCACCGCGGGCCGGGTCCTCGGCGCGAGCAGCCCCGGCCTCGCGACGCGCAGAGCGCTGAGAGCAATGCCAATCGGTTGCGGAGATACAATGACAAGGTGAATTAGAATTCTTGCCGTACAACAACGACGTCGTCGATGGCTTCCTCGATCTAGGTTCCAGCATGGTCGCGGCCCACAACGGCCTCTTCGCCGTCGGCTTCGAGTGCCCGACGCTCGCACGGGCCGGCGTCCGACGGCGTCGCGCCCGGACGAACGCCCGCTCGGTAGGTCCAGGCCTTCTTCGTCGTCCAGTGCCTCTGGACGGGCAGCATGGGGCTGCTCTGCACCTATGACCCGGTATGAAGCTGATAACCACCCACCATTTAGATTGTGCTCTCAGGCCTGGTCGCCGATCACGGAGAACGGCCTATTCACGCGCGGGAAGGAGAAATTCGCGCATCCGAACGTCCGCGGCGGCTGGAACGTCCGCGGCGGGTCCATGTTCCTGTGCGCCGCGGGCGCTCTCTACCACGGCACGCGCGAGACCTACGAGACCTACCTGGCGGCGGCGATCTGGCGCGCGGGCCGCGTCCCGCGATCCACCGGGGACACGACCGCCACCTTAACGTAGGCGGGAGGCCTACGACTGCGTCGAGCTGTGCCTCTGCAAGCGGGGCGGCGCCAGGATCGCCTTCGGCGTCTGGACGAGCCCCTTCGGCCCGCAGCCGCCCCTCGTCGTCTTCCTGGTCATGAATATCCTGGCCCTCCGGGCCGTCGCCGGGGCATGATTAGGGGGCGCCCTAGTGGACGAGGCGGCGGAGGCCCGCGAGCGACGACGCGGCGAAGTGCGCGAGGGACCGGTCCGACGCCCAGCCCGGCGGCGCCGGCGGCGCCGGCGGCGGCGGCGGCGGCGGCGCGCCCGCGTCGCCGTCGTCGGCGAACCAGGACAGGCCCCGGGCCCGGTCGCCGGGCGGCGGCGGCGGCGCCGCGGCGCCGTCCGGCGGCGGCAGGAGCGCGCAGACGACGGCGCCGGCGTCGCGGCCGACGGCCGCGGAGGCCTCGCTCGCCGTCACGAGGAGCACGTCGCCCGGCGCGAGGGGCGCGAGGGCCGCGAGGGCCTCGGCGACGCCCCGCGGCGTCACGACGACGGGGTACGCGGCGGCGGGGAGGTCGACGCGGCCCGG